ATATATATATATATATATATATATATATATATATATATATATCAAACAAAATAGATAGCTTAGCCAGGTGGCACTCATGTTTAATCCCAGCACTTGGAAGACAGAGGCAGGCTGATTGCTGTTTGTTTGAGATCAGCATGGTCTACATAGGGAGTTCCAGGCCAGTATGGGCTACACAGTGAGACCCTGCCTCAAAAACAAACAAAACTGAATATGCCAGAGATCATTATCTAACACTTAGATAAGTCCTAGGGTTTCTTCTCAAACTCATTCAACATTAATGCGAGTGATGCAGTGGGCAATTAAGCTGCACTAATTGCAAATTCCACCCTGGCAGGCAGTGCCACTCAGAAACGCCCTTAATGTATTTGCTCGGTCAAACTGCTTTGCTTTTTCAGCCGCTCCCTTGTAACTTAACAAAATAGAGAATTCTTGGGGACATAAAATACTAGCTCCCCACATACTATTTCTCTGTCTCATCGTCGTTAAACAGTGCTCACCTTTAGGAGTGTCACTGAGTTGATTTCTCTGAAGTATCAGTACCTTTAGACGGAGCAGTCCCCTGTGGGAGCTGTTTCTGTGCTGCTTTTGCTGAGCCGGGCGAGCTGGGGGTAGATCCAACGAGAGGGAGCTCAACGCATTGTTGCTGAGGTTTAGTACTTCCAGCGTATGTAAAGGAACCAGAGGGCTGAAGGTCATTTTCGATATGCTATGGTTACTGAGGTCCAGATGTTTTATTTGCCATTCTTTTCTCGTGTGAGACTGGAAGAAGACTTGAAAGGAAACCGAACTCACATCCATGGTGTATGCTATCTGTGATGTGTGTCTTCTAGAAGACCAGTTTGCCAGAAGATGCTCATCCCACTGGAATTCAGGGGTTCGAAAAACACCGCTTTTTCTTGGTGGGTTTGTTGCTGTTCCCGGAAAGCAAAGACCTATAACTGTGATAGTAACTCTGACGTAGAAGTCTTTCATAATGCCTGGAAAAATGTAAGTAAAATGATTAATTCAATTAATTAATAAAAACAAGCAGCAAATAAAAAACAGAAAATTTCATTTCTGAAAACTTCAGATTTAGGAAACATTCTTAATAATCAATTGAAGTGAACATTTGATTTCTTAGAAACTGGTCTCTGAAAGGGAGCTGCCCAAAAGCTGTAACTGTAGAATAAAAGGAGATGTATGTACACTTTATGGAAAGACCTCCCCTCAGTATTCATAAAAAGACACATTTGCCAAAGCCTCACCTCTACGCCGCTTTCCCAGGATCCTCCAGCTTGTAGTCTCCTTCCTAGTGAGTCCAACTTTTCTGCTCTGTTGCTTGTCACCAGCATGGGGCAAAGTCTGTTACACTTATCTACAACACCGTCATGTGGTTTATGACATGAATGACACACAATTACACTACAGATCGAGCCTCTCATACAAACAGAAAATGCAACTCACAGAACAGACACTCCAGTCTTTTCCTGACTAGAACAATAAGCTTTATCTTTATATAGCTTTTGCTACTTTTCACACAATTTTGAAAAAATTCTTTTAAATGTACAGAAAATAAATAAAAATGAAAAGGATGTCCTGCCCCTGAGCCATGAAGAAGTCAGAAAATACAGAAATGTCAAGTCTTTTTCATGTCACTGTAGCAACTGTAGGTTTTGAAACAAGTGTGTACAAGTTACAAAGGCTGAATACATACAGGGAAGCAACTGCAATGCGTGGGTAAATGGGCTCTTGAGATTTGCTTTCAGCTAAACTCTATGAAGACAAAACCTGAGTACAAATAACAACCTTTCTCAACCACATGTCACCCATTCCTTTCTGGTCTCAAGCCACCTATTGGAGTTGCCATCACATCTGAAGTATTAAATAGCTTTATTGAGCTTCCTGCCTCTGCTCCCATTCCCACCCCCACAATGTAGGTAACTCCAAAGAATTATTTTTTCAAAACATATCATTTCCCTTGCAGATTTTCCTCCCTCGAAATTTTAAAATGTTCCTTTAATTGCCTCTAATCTGAATTCCCAAGGTTGTCATTCAAAACTTCTTATAATCTAGCTAGCCTGGTGAGCTAAGTTTGATAAATTCATGTGGAGTAATTGGAAATGCAGCCCAGGTAAGGGATATGTACTCATTTGGTCTACCCCACACCAAATGAGTTTTTCATCTGACCCTAACCCATGATCATGTCAGTCCCCTCTGAGGTCTCAACCTTGCACATTCAAGTCTCATCTCAAGCCTTATGGTCTGAACCCGTTAGCCAATGTTTTGTCTTTGCTTTCACGATACTTTTGTTAGCATTCCTCTTTGTGTGTTTCAGACAAAAAACAAAAAGAGGGCAAGTATCTCCCCCACCCATGGGTCATAGTTTTAATGTTCTGGAGTTGTCACTGGGTAGTGCCCTTTGCATGAACGAATGCACAGAATGAAGGACATTCTCACTATAACTTCTAAACTTTTGTTTCATACAAGGTCAATTCTCCCATATCTTAGAGGCTATCTAAATTTAGGTACATGGACTGCAAAGGTGCCCTACCTATAGCAAAGAGTAATTTATAATATATCCCTTATGCAATACCAGAAACTGAATTCATTTACCTAGTCAGAGAGATATTGTTTTGACACTAAAGCTGCAATCATTATGCATACAATTGGATGCCAAGCTAATGTAATATTATCAAAAAATTACATCAATCTGAAATATGCACATTCCTTTCTAACAGTGAATTTAATGATGGGGTTGAAAAACATACCTCTTTTAGAGGGGATATAAATGAAAGATTTTTTATAGTCTGGCCCTTTTCAAGGTGGACAGATTGACATCGGGATAGATTTGCATTCAAAGGAGGCAGATTAGGATAATTTTATCTCTAAAATGAAAAGCATAAGCTGGGCAGTAGTGGTGAACATCTTTAATCAGAACACTCAAGAGGCAGAGGCAGGTGGATCTTTGTAAGTTCAAGGCCAGCCTGGTTTATAAAGTGAGTTCCAGGACAGCCTGGGCTGTTACAGAGAAACTCTATCTCAGAAAAAAACAAAATCAGGAATTAATGTTAAGAAACATTATTTATATTATATTACATACAAAAGTCTATGTGTGAGGCTAACCACCCCCAAAACCAAACAACAAAAAAAGTCAAAAACCACCCCCCCAAAAGAACAGTGAGCTAACCACCCCCAAAACCAAACAACAAAAAAAGTCAAAAACCACCCCCCCCCAAAAGAAAACAAAGAGAAAACAGTGAGAACTGCAGAGGAAAGTACAAGTGATTAATTAGAATGTAAATCTTTGACTAGAGTTATTCAAGTTGAGGTGTGAGGAGGCAGTTAGAAATAATTGGGGACATATATACATCAGTGAGACAGAGAAGGTAATAGGAAAAGCTTAACTAGAGAAAAGATTAATTCTTCTGTAAGAAATCGGAAAAAGAGAATGAAACAATGAGGGTCTTCGGGTAATGAGATGTGGGAAGGACAGGACTCTTATCTGAGGCCTACCTCAGGGTCCTTAGGCCGGTTCTAACTGTTCTGTCTTTAGGCCGGTTCTAACTGTTCTGTCTCCAGGTGGTCCAGCTAAGTGGGGGTTTATATCTGTGCCCTGGAGGCTTCGCCCACATCCTAGTCAGCCCCCACACATCCCTCTCCTGGCTCTTTCCTTAGTGAGAAGCCTACTTCGAGGCACAGATGAGACTATCTAAACTGGGAATGTACAGTTTTCTGACTCCAGAGAGGCCACACAAACAGGTCACAGTGGCCAGGTCCCAAGCTGTATTTAGAATCAGCATTTGTGCTAAAGTAGAAGCTCATTAATAAAGTCTTTAAGAAACCGATAGCAAAGTTCACAGAATTTTATTGTAAACAGAGGTCATCAGTCTGAAACACATGATAGCTTTATTTTTGTGTGGCATAGCTTGTGATCTTTGCCCCTCTTACGTCATTCAGAAGATCACAATGGCCAGCACTTCAGTAGTCTCCTCTTCAAGTTTAACACAGTAATTCTAACCCCCTCAGAAAATACTCATCCAAACCAGGTAGAAATTCTTCCTTTCATCAGTAAAACTATCATGCAAAGTTTATTTTGCTGCTGTTACAATGCAAAAAGGTTGCCAATAAAGTGTATTTTAAAAGATTGCAGATGATGGCTGGCAGCTCTGCTTTGGGTTGTGTATTTTCCCCTCTGTCTGCTGGACAGTCTCCAAGGAATCTTATGTTTATTTCTTCTGTCTCTTCTCATTGATATCCACCTCAAAAATGTTGTTCTTACTTATTTTCCTCTTGCATCTATTTCCCCCAAGGCTGCTGCAGCACATTGTCTCAGTGTGGTATGTTCCAACAGAAGAAATGCACATATGAGCAAGAACACCCCCCCCCTCCGCCCCCCGACTTCACTGTGGACCAAGAGAATGTGATCTTGCTTGGTTTCACAGGAGAGACTCCAGGTCAGTGCTTCACTGTAGTGGATTCTAAAATGTCATCCCCAGGCATCACCGGCTTCATAGAGCATCAGGATGTCCTCTTACATTAAAGTGCTCGATAGAGATGTATCAAAACATAAGTGCTTTTCAAGGAAATGTAAAAATACATTTGTTCATGAATTGCATTTAGTAAATAATACTTAGTAATATAGTGTTCTGTGGTTTGAGTAAAAATATTTATTTAAAGAAATTCTTAAAACAGATTTAAAAAGAACACGTAACAAATGTACAATTTAAAAATACACTGAGCATGGAAATGAGAATTTCAAACATGATTTTTCTGAGCACTTTTTAGTTATTAAACAATACTTGAATATATCCAAAGGTATAAATCACTCTTTCTTTACATCTAAAACCTGCACTTAGTGTCAGGTCTCAAGCCACTTCTTACCTCAGCCTGAGTTCACAATCTATAAGGTATTCAGTTTCTCCATTTGACAGAATTATGACAATATTGAACACAAATTATTTTATATATTGATTTTCTTATCCACACAGTTCTAAGTGACCATGACAGAATGCAAGTGTCTTTCTGTGTAGCTAGGTCCATGATACCTCCCTGCTGTCTACTTTACAGCTATGTATTCTGGGACCCTGATCCCACATATCTTAGTAATACCAGAAATTCCTTTCAAATCAAGTATAAAATACACTAAGAATCAACTGGCTTGAGGGCTGTAAATAGTAACAATGAGACAGTGAGATGAGGAGCAGAGATAAAAGTTTTATACCTAGCTAAAATAGCCTGCATCATCTCCTGCATTAGCACCCTTTAACCTAGTGTATACTAGTTTCTAGGCACAGTATACTTCTAAAGGGTGATGCTGGTATGGGACACTGGAGGAAATGCATCGGGGCAGTAGGGCCTATTGAGGCCTAGACTCCCCCTTTCCACTGAGCTTCCCCAGGGCTTAAGGAAATCTGTACTGGTCTCTCTGTAACTCATTCAGGTGCTCCCATGTTGCAAGCAGACCAAGCAGATCTGTCTATCAAATGACAGATTGGAATTGGCTCAAGATAGTTAAAAATCTGACAGTGATTGGTCATGTTTTGCTAACATGTTAGTATTGTGACTAGAATAGTACACATGTTTCATTTTTACCTATTAGGCAAATTAGGCTATTACCTATTAGGCTTTTTCCAGCTTTTGAGAATTTTAAATAATTGAAAATTCAGTTTAGAGTATAAAAGACAGAAACACATTTGGAATCAGGTTCATCTAGTTTAGAATCGTACTTGAATTCCAACCTCAAGTCTATCCTTTACTGTGTGGTATGGGGCAAGTTCCTTGACTTCTCTGACTTTAATTGTCCTGATGGGTGAAGCTGGGACTGAAGCACTCACTGAGAGTGGTGCAGTGAGAATTAGAGTAAGGGCACGAAGCCCAGGACAGTGTTGGGGAAGAGGAGGCCCAGTGATGGCAGTTACTGTTACCACATAGCAGTGAGGACTGGGATTGGGTTTTAATGTCTACACATTGCAGATACTTACATGTATCATTATTTCAAGTAAACATTCCATGACAGAGTATTTTCTTTAGTGCAAAACTAAGGAAACACTGTTTCTTACAAGTTCATATATGGAAAGTTCTTCAATGACTTGTCTGTGAAAATGTGGCTTTGGGTTAAAAGCCAAAAGAAAGAGCACAGTGGCATTGTGTCCTCCAAACATCTCTAGTGGATCTTTCCCCATTGGACATAACCAAAGACCGACTTACAGTGAGTCTTAACTCTTCAGCCCTTTGTCCTTTAGATAAGAGATAGTAGAATGTTTAAAAAAACACTCCCAAGATTATTTTTGATTTTATTAATTTCTCGTAGTTATTTTAGAGAACTGTCATTTTAGTGTCAGTGCAACTTAATAAAGCATATTAGAATTTAGGCACTCAAAAATTCCTTAAATATGGAGAGTACATACTAGATACAGTGGTGCTCCCCAGTTCAAACACATGGTATGGCAAACTCTGTAAAACATGGTTCACATGCATTCATGAAAAGAAAAGTCAAGTTGAGATCAGAACATATTGACCCCTGGGGATGGAGCTTCTAATGAGTGTTTCCACAAGGGTTGTCTGATACCTGGCAGCCCATGTTGTGGCCTGTTACTTGTACTTTGAAGAGCGTGCCATCTGCACACATGCAGAGCTTGTAGCGCACCCAGTCACCACTTCCCGACTGGTCCCCACTGGAGGAACTGGGAAGTCGCGTTGGGCTGACCATCACAGTTCCATTGAGGATGATGCTGTTTTCCTACGAGGACAGGAATATGGCTTAGTTACCTCCACAATATGGGCATAGAAGGAAGTTACTAAACTAGGAAAAACCTCATGAAGTAAGGGGAAAAGGTGGCATAGAGAGAATAAAGTCACGATCAAAACAACGGTGGCTAAAGCAAAACCAGACCATCCCAAGGTGACTCTTGGTTTAAGTCAGCCCCTACTGGCTGACTAGGAGTCAACAAACCTGCAACAGAGCTTGCAAACACTAGTCATATCCCTCACACATCTGGCTGATGGTGACAGTCTCAGAAAATTTTCACTTTTTGACTCCAGAGAATTTTTAGTTACTGACTAATGTTGATATTGGGGGGTTATTTTTCTCTTATAGGAAAACTAATTTTAGTTAATAGAAATTCAATTAACGTTTAAAACTGTAGTTTATTAGACTAGGCTTTCAAAGAAACTGAGGGCTTCTTTAAACTCACAGCTACAGAATCATTTTCATACTGTAGGCTCTTAAGACCCTGTGTGTGTGTGTGTGTGTGTGTGTGTGTGTGTGTGTGCTCGAGCGCACATGGAGGTCAGAGGTTGAACATGTGTGTCTTTGTAAATGGATCTCTAGCATACTTTGTGGTGAGGTCTCCCTCACTGAAATTGGAGCTCAGCAAGCAGGCTAGGCTGTCTGGTCCATTTGCCTGTACATCCTCAGTAGTAGGATTAGAGGTGCACGCCACTGCCATGCCTGCCTTATTTGTGTGCTGGAGTTCTGGACTCGGGTCCGTTACTTGTTTGGAAGCACTTCACCATTTGAGCCATCTCAGCCTCCCAAGACCCATTGATTTTAGGGACCAGAAAGTTTCTATTTCTCTCCTTCCTCCACTCTCCCCTTTCCTCACATTTAGCGAATAGTTACTAAATACAGTCATATGCCAGACCCCACCCTAGGTGCTGGGGGTATGACAGTAGACAAATGTGTAACTGGAACATTCCATTCAGTGGAATCAGGAAGACAACAAATCAACAAACAGGAAAACCTATAGGGAAAGCAGAGGGAGAGTGGTTGAGGACTGATTTGGCCTGAGAAGGTCTCCCTGGTAAGGTCACCTTCCAACAGAAATGGAGAAGTGAGGGACATGTAGGTAACTGGGATGGGCACTCTAGGTGAGGACACTGACTGAAAGACCCACGGTGAAGATGTGCCTCATGTAAGGAACCCAGGGTAGATGAAGCACAGACGCTGAAAAAGGGGCAGGAGCAGGATGTGAGACACGGAAATAACGAGGGACCAGACAGGTGAGACTAGGGAATAGACTCAGGGTTTTACTTGAAATTAGAAGGGAAGCCCATTTAAAGGGTGAAAGATAAGTGACAGTGTCTTTTATAAAGGTCCTTCTGAAGCAGGAGCTGTGGCACATATCCCAGCATTCTGATCCAGCCAGTACTTGAGAGGCAGTAGGATTTGAGTTCAGGCCAGCCTGAGGTCTAGTGGGATCCTGTCTCATTAAAAAATGTCACTGGCTACTGGCTTCTGGGTAGAGAAGTGGCTGCATCTCCAAACAGTGAAGAGAGCCAACAGACTGTTCCAACAGTCCAGCAGTCCAGTAATCTCAGCCCATATGCCATGGTGGTGAGAAGCAGCCAGGCACTGCAGGTGCTCTGAGGTGGAGCGGGGCTAGGCCAGTGGCTTTTGGGTGGGAGCACTGACAGAAATGCATGTTTGGTGAGGAACCAGGATCTAGAGATTTTACACTTGTGGGACTTCAGATGCCTACGGATGTGGAAGCAAGGAAGGGATAAGGATAAGGATCCTAATTCACAGGAAAGGTCAAGACAGCTTGTAGCATGGAAGCCATCACTTTAGGGAGGGGCTTAAAGCAATGGGAGCTGGCAGTAAAGTGGCGGGAATGGCTACTGCTGTGTAGAGACCCAACATCAGCTTTTGTCTGAAATGCTGGCAGCAGAGCCATTTCACATTTCTGAGTTTATTTTACTTATTTTAGAGAATCTGCATAGACTTTACTGGGTGAACATCCAAATTTTTAGAATAAAGTGCTCAATGCTATTCTGAAACAAGTCCTAAGTATTAAGGGATCCATTTCAAATTTTGTTTACATGCTGCCATCTTGTGGTCATTTAATTTTACTTTCTTGAAACTATAACAATGCTCAATAATACATTGTAGCATGGAGTGACTAAAGTTAACAGTATTTGTATATCTGCAAATAGTCTGAAGAGATAATTTTGAATGTTCCTAACTAAGAAGTGGTAGATATCTGAGATAATATGCATGCTAATTACTCAAATGTGATCATGTGCACATGTATCAAAACATACAATGAACTCCATAAATATGTATAGTATATGTCAATTAAAAATAAAGGTGAAGATTAAAATTAAAAAGATACTTTAATAAAATTATTTCTAATAATTAGCTTACAAATTCTAAATCTAACTGTGGATATCAGCTGATTTACAAAGCTGAGTATCTTTTCAATACTAGAAACTAGTATGTAGAATACTTCAGAATATTAAGATTTGTCACATCGATAAGGCAGAATGTTGTAAGGATTTTCTGGTGGACGGAATGAAAGATACGGTAACTTAGGCATGTTTTGTATACAGAGGGTTGGGGCCTTACTCCTCTGACCTTTAGTGTCAACTGCCACCTGCACCCTGGCTGCTTGTCATTCCTCAGAGAGCTCCTTACCACAGTGGAAAACTCCTCAGTGCGCTGTGATACCTCTGGCAGGAGCTACAGTTCATGTTCATCTTTATCATCCAGAGATAGGATTGGGCATGTTAGGGGCAAAACTGTTAAAGCCCAACACCTACTTTTCTTCCTCGAGTTTATTATTCCTAAGAGTTATTGATTTTTTTTTGAAAGGGGAAAATGAATGATTTCTAAGTTCTTAGATTTAAGTCACTTTTGTCATGTGATTCTTGGTAACATACATTTCGCTGGGTAAAAGCATTAAGCAAGGTACCAGAGGCATGTGGGAAAACTCCGTTCTGGCCCAAACACTGAACTGGTAAGAAAGGTGCAGACTATGGCTCCTCAGTATGAATAGGATAAAGTCCGAGAAGCTGCAGCAAATGTCAGCGAACACAGTCTTCCTCACAGTTAACAGATGTCAGATGAACACACATGTTCCCATTCACTCACTGCTCTCTTCATAGCCTTGAACACAAATTTGGGCTAATCTTTGATTAAACAACAGCTACTTCAGGGAACACATGTTTTGATCTCTTAGAATTCTCTATCAGAAGGCCTGTTTGGGTTTTGTTTTTCTGCTTTTAAAATAATATAAAAAATACAAGCAGAAGTAAAAATGAAATCATGTTATTCTATCACTCTTAGCTAAATGTTGTTAATATTTTACTACATCCTTCCAAATTTTATAAACATGCAAATGTTCTGAAAGAAATGAGATAATAATTTTACAAATATTTTATAACTTTCTTTCATTTCACAATCCCTTTGGAACATCTCATCATGACAAAAATAATTTTCAATAATTATGTATTACTCTACATGTAATTATATACTATTCAAAATAATTATCTTAAATTCACACACAAAACAATACTCACAGCCTTTAACTCCACATTACCCCCCATGTGAAATTCAATGGTTTTGCCCATGATGAACACGCCTTCATTTCCTCGAACAATCGCACGCCCATCAACTTTGATATTTAAGTCACTGGTAGCATTGCTGGTAATCTAAAAATGAAAACACATGCTGAAAGGGGTTTGTTAGTTAAGGTGAGAATTACTATCATAGAGAAGCAAAAGTTTCAACTATGGACTATAAAGGGCAGTTTTATAATCATGGGACTTAACATACAGAGAGTCCTTATTAGTGCTCCCATAGGCTAAGGACAGGGCTAGAAGCAGCCCTTGGATGGTCTGGGGGGTCACATTTTCATGCAGCCTAAACCATCCCCCAGGGAGTAGCTGCAGATAAACCCCTGCTGGTGATGCTAGAAGAATAAACCATACCCTCTCAGTGGATGCCTTCTGAACGTTCAAACTTTTCACTCCACTTGGCAAATGAAACTCATGAGTCTCGTAGTCTGTGCTGAATAAGATATTTTGTGTCCTTGGGTCGAAAAACTGCATTCCAATGTCACTGGTGATAGACGTTTTGTTCTTTTCTACACTCAGTTTGGTTGTCCCTTGCTGAAAAACAATCTTCAGAAAAAATGCTTTATTGTGAGTATATTTTCAAAGAATGTACAAAGAATGTTGTTTTAAGAACACTACAAAACAGTAAGGTTAAAAAACTAAAATGACAGTAAGAGCCAAACTTTAAATTCTTGTAACTGCACTTACCCTTAAGACTGGGTAATTTATGACTTTAAAATGAAGGGAAAAATTAAAAATTGTGCACTCCTTTGCTAACATATGACCCACTGTACAAACACACAGGTCACAGGGAACATGGCTGGGGCCTAAGATGGCCAGTGTGGAGGTAAGCAAACACCCTTGAGGGTCATTCAGTTAAAAGCCTGTGTTTTAGCAGCCACTGGGCCCTGTCTGACACTGAGTAGCATTTCTCTCCCTGATGCCAAGAATCTGGAGGTTCTGACCTGGAAAGGTGCTTTTACAATGGCTTTGTCACTGGGAGAGCAAACAGTGACCTACATACGCTTATACTAATTATACCAGTCAGTACTTCCATGGGAAAGGGGGGAGATTCTAGAATATTAAGTACCTAACTCTAGTGAGATTATTACTATTGTTAATTAAATATTAATTTATCAGTAATTAAATATTACTGACCATTGGGTGTTTATGAATATGGATAAGCTTGTGTATATAAGGCATATTTTAACAAGAAGACAGTATTTTCCAGCGTCCAACTGTAGGTTTTCATGAGCACTGTTGTCTATGCCTCTCTACAGCCACACACTTTCTTTAGTGGGGAAACTTACTGGCTGGTTGTTGCCAGTGATGACCAGATTTTCATTCCTCCTTCCTCCCACCGTGCTTTTATAGAGCGGGTGGATGACACCCATGTCAGACACTTGCTTGAATCGCAGCAGCCCGCTTTCATGGAACTCCATGCTGTCACAGCCATTTGGCCCAATGCGAATCACAGCCCAGATGACAAGCGTAATCTGAAAGAGAGACATGTTTGTTGTTATTAGTCACATACTAGACACACCTGGAAGTGAACAAGAATGACCATGTTCGAATGTGAGGCCTCTTGACATGTTTAATTGGTGGGATGAACGCACTAACTGGTGGTCTTCTTGAAGAATGATTTATTTTTTTATCAAAGTGCTAAACACACGCACAGCCGAGAGCTGGACGTGCTCTGTCTACAGAAAATGGCAGCGCTACTTATTCCTGCTCTCACCTCATCTTGTTCCCTAAGGACAACCAACCACCTTCAGCACTTTTAGTTATTCTATCTGGAGTTGATCTCCCTGTTTCTAAATAATACACACCGAATTTCTTCCTTCACCAATTTCCTTCACTTACTTCCTATTTTAGCAAATAAGAATTTGAGCTCATTGTTACATTTTTTTTTCTCTTCTAACTCCAAACTGTGTTCAGTACTTACTGGTTCTGGCCATGTAACTATTATTTACCACCATACTGAACACTATCCTGTAATTCTTTTTAATATTTATGTCTTCATAGTTGAATTTTATTCATTTGAAAATTGAACTAAATCTCAGATACTTCTGTATTTCTGCAAATCTCTCAGTAAAATAAATGTTCTGCAATTCAAGCTTCTCAGACAATGATGATTCTGCTTTTCTCTTCTAGTTTATTTTCTTGGACCTGGTCTTTTTGCTCCATTCAGGACTGGCCAGCCTCTAGGCCACTCATGTGATAGAACAGTGAACTTCCTTTCCTTTCATGCTTTCTCCCACATGAGATACCAGGCTTCTTGTATTCCTATCTCAGAAGTGCTTGCTTTAGGGCTTTCTTTTGGTAAAAGAAAGTAAATGTGCCTGGAAGTAAAAATGTTTGGTGCATGCACATGGTAAGACACAGTCTGTATAATCCCTCATGTATGTGGGAGGATCTGGTTAGACAGGTGTCTCTGAGACCTTACCTCTGACCTCTGAAGGCCAAAGCTTCATTACCTTGCTGTATCTAATGCTCATGACAGGTCCAGGGCCACTTTGCTTTTGTATTCATCCTACACAGCACCCTTGTCTCCTCTCTAGAAAGTTTTGAATCTTTTCTTTATTTCCAGTTTGCTTGAATTTTACAGTGATAGCATGATCTGTCTGTCTCTTTCTCTCTCTCTCTCTTTTAAAATATTCACATAGAACCCAGAATGCTTTCAATTTGTAGGGCCACTTTGCTTTTGTATTCATCCTACACAGCACCCTTGTCTCCTCTCTAGAAAGTCTCTCTCTCTCTCTCTCTCTCTCTCTCTCTCTCTCTCTCTCCACTCTGTAGCCTTGGCTGTCCAGGAATCATTCACCATGTGGACCAGGATGACCTTGAACTCAAACTCACAGAGATCCACCTGCTTCTGCCTCTTGAGTGCTGAGACTAAAGGCATGCATCATGACACTAAGCTTTAGAGAATTTTATTAATTCATTTTATTTTATTCCTTTCCTTTTATGCTTTCTCTGTTCTCCCTTTCTGAATCTCCTTTTATTAGAAAGCTTCCAGATTGACGCTTTGATTTTGTAGAACTCTATGGAAGAGCTACAATTTTTCCAATACCTGCTCACCCACCCATATATGTGTATATTTACTTTTTAAAAGATTTGTTTGTTTTTCTTTTATGTGTACGGGTGTTCTACCTGCATGTTTTCTGTGTACCACATGTATGCAGTGCCCTCAGAGGCCAGAAGAGGGCATCACATCTTCTAGAACTGTATTGTTGAAGCTGCCATATGGGGGCTACAAACCAAACCCTGGACCTCTGCAAGAGCAGATAATGCTCTTAACCACTGAGCCATCTCTCCAACTACGTATGTGAATATCTATGACTTCTTCATTATTTAATTGCACTATTTGAAATGCCATGCTATTTTTGTTTCATGAATGGAATATCATCTTTCTCAGAAGAAGCTGATTTTAGTTTTAGGGAGTTCTTTTTGTTGTTGTTTTCTGACAAAAATCTCACAAAGTCCAGACTGGCTCTCATGCACTACGTAGTCAAGGCTGGCCTTGGACTCCTGACCCTCCTACCTCCACTTCCCAAGTACGGGGTTTACAGGTGTGTACCACCATGGCTTTGTGGGGTTTGTCTTATGCCATTCATTGCCTGTTTCTCTATCTCCCTGAGTTTCTGCTCCTCCCACAGTGCCTATCAGTTTTCAATTATTACAGTTACCTCACAAATCTACTGACCCCTGGCCCAGTGTACAGACTAAACACAGCTATAAAAAGTCCAGAGAGAATTCGAGTGACCATCTAGCCTGTCTCTTCGGCACCTCCTATTGACATTCATTACCACAACAGGCTCGGAAAGACTCTATGAGGGGTGTACCTCCTGACCTACAGGCTTTCCAGTGGGGAGTGTTCTTTTTTTACTGGCCCTGTCAAGTGTCACTGTCAGGTTGCATTCTTTCTCTGGGTGCTTTAACTCTCAAGAGAGGGGTTCTCCTTCTCTAGCCTGCTTCTAGGTAGAGGATGCAGGTAAAGGAGTGTGGGAAGTGAGCCTCTGAACTCAGTGTTAGGCTGCCCTGTTTTCAGGATGCAAATTCCTTCGTGCAGTGGTTCAGGGTATCTGGCACACACAGGTTAGCTGTGGTTAGAATTGGTTAGCTACTGGCTGGGAAGTGAGATGTAGGGAATTTCACTAACCTCAGACTTTTCACACAATTCATCTATTTCAATTCCTGACTCAATCCTGATTAGTAACATCCTTGTCCTTCTAACTCTGGGTTCTGTAAGGCATTTTACCAATATAGGTTGCATTCTTCTCTTACACACACACACACACACACACACACACACACACACACCTGTCTTTCGCTTCTGGTAAGTTATTCTCCCTCCTTTTTTGTCTTCATAAGTCATGCCTTAGGATTTTGGCCACTTCTCACTCCCTCCAAATACATTTATGTTTTCTGACACTGTTACTTTGGGTGAGTTTTTAGAGAAGAGGACAGAAATGTCTTAATTCTGCCATCCTTGTCAGGAATCTCCAACAAAGCAAATGCATAAGGCACAATAAATTCAGAATGCATGCTCCCAGTTAAGCTATTTATGGTACCTTCTTTAAAGTGTGTGCCAGCTCTTCCCTTGGTGAGGGATTAGACACAAATGTTTTGGAAGTACATGGAGCACAAAAGAATGCTCAAGAGCATTGTGTGTGTGGGGGTGTCAATGCCTCACTCTGAACAGATGGTACCATTCACTGATGGTGTCACAGGCGCCAATGCTAACCTCCAGAACTACAATCTCACATTAAAAAGTCCCTTCCTCAAAACAGTAACTACCAAGCGAAGGACAGGGCCTGGCACCTCAGTGAGAGCAGGGAAGGATAGGCCAGGGCTCAGCACCTCAGTGAGAATGGGCCTGGCAGAGTCTTCAGATCTTGACATTGGGGACTGAGGCTAAAAGACACAGACTTTCAGTGTCATCAAAGTGTTAATGTTTTACAATCAATATGTAGGAAACACTGAATGACATTGTATTTTATTTTTGAGAGAAAAAGGCAATAGAGTCACAGTGAAGTTCTCTTCCACTGAGTTTACATAACCTTTATTAAAGACAATTCCTTTAAGGGGATAATCCATCAATATTTTTCTAGATGAGATTAATATATGGATATACCTTACTAGTTTTTTAAAAAAAATTGTCTTCACTTACTTTTGTGGGATGGAGAGAGAAGTCTATTAGATTTTTTATGTTAAAGCACTAACTAAAGTCCAATAGAAGATAAAATATGTATAGAAAAGACTGTTCCCCCCCCCAAAAAAAATCACAGCTGGGCATTGGTGGCTCACACCTTTAATTCAAGCACTCGGGGAGGTAGAGGCAGACGGATCTCTGTGAGTTTGAGGCCAGCCTGGTCTCCAGAGCAAGTGGCAGGATAGGCTCCAAAGCTACACAGAGAAACACTGTCTCCGAAAAAAAACAAAAAAAAAAAAAAAAAAAAAAGAAAGAAAAGACTGTTCCAAAAAGAAAAGAAAAGAAAAGAAAAGAAAAGAAAAGACTGTTCCAAAACACAGTATACAAGCAAAATCCATGATCTTGCTGAAAAAAGATTAACATTTCCCAAGGTATAAGTTAGGCGAGAATGTTATGCCCCACATACTCACGAGTAGATTGATGACGGCCAGGATAAACAGGAGGACAATCACACAGATGGCCAAGTTGCCCTTTCTTCCTCTCAACCCGGTCTTATGGAGACGATCTTCATCAATAGGGATGTAGCCAGCTTTAAAGTTGCTGTTGTGCTCCTTATTAACATTCCTTCGCTCCACAGCCTTCTCCCGCATGGACTTCTTCACCGGCCCATTGGAACTTTGCTAAAAGCCAAACAGAAGGGAACAGCTATACTCTTTGTTGATGCACTTATTAAATTCATACTCATCATTAAAGAAAAATGAACTGGCTCGTGATGGATGTTCCACGAATATGTTGCAAGTCAGGTTGAATTGTGGATGTCAATATAGCCACGTTTTTGGTCATTCTATTGTCAGAGTGGGTCATTTCTGGGCGTCATTGACACACACACATATTGCAGTGGGTAATCTTTTGTGTGTGTGTATGTGTGTGTTTCGAGACAGGGTTCCTCTGTGGCTTTGGAGGTTGTCCCAGAACTCGCTCTGTTGACCAGGCTGGCCTTGAACTCACAGAGATCCACCTGCCTCTGCCTTCCGAGTGCTGGGATTAAAAGGGTGTGCCACCAATGCCAGGCTGCAGTGGGTGATCTTAGTTTTACTAATGATTTATTAAATTTTTACTCATATATTTTCATTTATATTAAAAGATTTTGGAATGATTGACACAGATTGCTACTTATAACTCAACATTTGTTCTGCATCAGCAATTTTCCAAGTGTTCAGGGACAGTCGCATAAGTATATATGTTTGCAGGGGGATGGCAACTAAACTCTTTTCAAGGTCTAAAATGTCAGACATATTTTAATAGTAACAATAATATTTGTCATTTACTCTCCCACTCTTTTGAATGAATAATGTTGTTTCCAGAGGGCATGTGGCCATTTATGATAACATGATTGTTCTAAGAGTTAGTGAAATGTTTGCTCTGGAATTCTTATATTTACAAACACAGAATGGCCAGCAGAAATGGGCACTGCCTAATTTCCATATTTTTTCAGAGTTCTGAGACAATTCACTTATTGTAGAAGGCACATGCTAAGAACTGTATGCTTAGAACAATATCACAATAAGTGGGAACTTAGGATAGGAGGACATGATCATTATCTTGTAAGGTATTACACACCTGCATTGTGTGTTATGTGACATGAATACTCTGTATGTTCTGGAGCCAAAATCAGCAGTATAGGCAAATGCATGCTTCAGAGTTCAAATGCAGGAGAAGCTGAGACACTCTGGAGTTGTTAGGAAACTGGGAGGAGCAGGTGGGTCAGATCTGACAACACTGGGAGAAGGAAGGTGGAAAGTAGAGCCAGGTTGAGACAGTTGATAGCAGAGTGTAGACTCTAGTCTTTGGAGTCACTGGAGGTTTCTGAGCACAGATGGCACATGTTTCAGCTGCTAAACATTAAATGAACACTTGACAGAGGTAAGCAGGCTCTTCCGGTAATGTAGGGATGGAGGTTTGAGGGAATGAGGGAATGCACTAAGGTGGGATAGATATGCGAATGAAGGGGAAAATGGAGTGAGAGATGTGATAAACAACAAAGTACCGAGGTCCAAAAGACGGACTTTCTCCTGGGGGCAGTGGGGGACTACTGAGGTCATGCCACTGCTTGCTGTTGCTGCTGCTGGTGTGTGTGTGTGGTAGCCTCCCCTTCCTCCTCCTAATCTTCTTCCTCTTCTCCTCCCTCCTCTTCCTCTTCCTAGTCTCGCTTCTCCTCCTCTCCCTACTCTAATCTTCCTCCTCCTCCTCTCCCTACTCTAATCTTCCTCCTCCTCTCCCTACTCTATTCTTCCTTCTCCTCCAGTCGTCCTCTCTTCTTCTGCATTTCTTTGAGAGAGAAAGAGAGAGAGAGACAGAGACAGAGAGGCAGAGCTCGAGAGAGAAGGCACGTGCACCATGGTATATGTGTGGAGATCAGAGGACAACTTTTGGAGTGGGTCCTCTCATTTCACCACGTGCGTTCTTTAGATTGAACTCATGAACTCCATGGCTAACACCTTCATCCTCCAAGCCATCCTGCCAGCACCCACTGAAGACATTTACACAGAAACAAAATCATGTCCCAGAGGAGAACTGGAATAGAAGAGCAGGAGAAGTTGTCACCACATCTCCTTGGCTTTGGAGATGAGGCTGGGGGAGACGTTTTAAGCGGCAGGACTGCCAGGACCTGGTGACGGTGTCACAGAGGCATCTACAATGACTCCCAAACAGAATACGTCACATAATTTGTGGGACCCCAAGCACAAAAGCAAGTCTTCCTGTTCAAATATAAAGCTGAGGACAGCAGATCACTAAGCTCTAAGTGTGTTTCTCCATAGCTCCATTCAGGCAGTCCTGCTCTGGTTAGGGTAGCTGAGTGAGCAGATGACTGTAGCCTTTTAATCGTCAGAACAGACTCTTAGAGCATCAAGATGCACTTGTAGAACAACAAAGACTCCTCTGACTCAGAGGCTGATTTAGTTAAGGGGTAAACTAGAAACCAAGGAACCGCTTCAGTCCCAACAGCTCATGTTGCCTCCTTACAGCTTCTCTTGTTCCTTTATTTTGTTGTCAGTCTGCACTTGCCTATCGTTACAGCTGACTGTTCCATGTTTGTTTGGCCGTTTGACTTTTTAGGTGAAGGCAGGTTTCATGTCTATTTTTTCTACCCCTTAGAACCAGTCCTCCAGGAACATATACCTAACAGGTTTCTAAAATGTTAGCCACCTGAGAAAATGGTCCCCAAATCCAATTGTTTATTCACAACTTCACTCACTTTTTTTTTTCAATGATGTTGAAGAATAGGACTTTTAAAGGGAAACTATCTTACTTGTTATTTTAAAGGGTAAACAACAGTAAAGGAGTGATTACAAAAATTGTCTTTATTATAATGTCACTCTGACAACTACAGGCATGGGCATGGATTCACACATTTCACACCCGTACACGTATGTGCACGCAAAGTTACAGCTTGATATTTGAGGGGAAGCCTTTTAAACTATTCTAGGCGTCCAACAAGGACCAGGAAATATTTGATAATGCATTTCTTAAAAGTAATCTTAAACCCATTGAACACGGGTCAGTTTTATATTGGTGACTTAATCTCCGAGAAACCAAAGTGGGAGGGGATATCTGGGCTGTGTGCACATCGGGCACGGCAGAAACAAGACCTGGCCACGATCCACACTAGGCAACAGCTGACCACAACTTGGCTGGTGTCAGGCAGCCTCCCGGCCCCAGCTGATGTTATTTTTATCCACATAGTTGCTAGCTGCGGAGAGCAACGTCCAGGCGCAGGCTGAACATGCCCGTGACCCGTGTCACTCCCTCCGAGGGACAGCTCCCCTCACCGGCCTGGAGCGGCTTGTTCCTGCCCCCACCCC